GCTGAACAAATTATTCTTATTTCCAGGGACAGTTTCGATGAGACTAAATGGAGTAATGGAGTTGCACATAAACGGCTAACACGGAGGGAGAGGGGAATTCCATTCCCCTCCCCCACACAGAATTGATTAAAAATCTTGAGATCACTGTTCTTATCTCTACCCCCACCTCCCAATGAAGCATCTTCGTACTCCAATTAAATATATCTTGGTTACTGTTGCTGCTGACTCAGATAGGATCAGAAGTATTATGTCTTCACATCACTTTGTATCCATATTATGGGTAATTAAAATATCCTGATTTACCAAAAAATGGCCCAGTTCGGTGAAAGAGCTGTTTACTTTGAAACATGCAGAAAGCCTCTGAAATACACAACTGCATGAAAAAGACAAAGTCCAGAGGTAACAGGGCTACAAATTCTCTCTGAATCCACAGATGAGAATTGTCTGGTTTTCTCTGGGGGATAACAGGAACCAAACACTGACCTAGTCTCATATTAGCAAGCTGTGGGCTACGGTCTAAGGTAGGATTCCCTCTAGGCTAAGGTTAAAGAATCAATGTTCCCTTCCCATTTGAAGTAGACTAGGAAAAGCCTGCACACTTTGGCAAGACAAAAAGATAGGCCACTTTCAGGTATAGGTGCAGTTATGCCACAAACCAAGACCTGTTTGAGACACCACAGAAGCCAAGTATGGGCAAACCCAATTCAGGGAAAGGAACCTAGAGTAGGCGTGTGCATGTATTTCCCATTATAGTGATGTACTGATGACACCCCCAACTTAACAGGACACTTATTGCCTTTTAACTTAATTTACTCCTACCAGAAGATATTGTGGTACAAAGAGGTAATATCTGTTTTTTATTCCCCAGTAGAGTTGGGGGGGTCCCACATATGAAGCAGTTTGTTTACATGAACAGGGGTGTCCCTTGATCCTCATGAGAGATCTCAATGAAACATTCATGGAAGTACCCTGCAATCTCTTCCAAAGGTTTCTAGGGACGGCAGCCTTCAGTCTTGCTCTGTGTTAGGACAGTTTCTCATGCAATCAAAAGTCTTCCATCAGCAAAAGTTTGCAATGTAGACATGGCTGAAGTAATTACTACTCTTGGTGCCTGAGTGGGAGTTGCAGGACTCAATTTAGTCCCATAAAGTCTCAGAAACAGATCAGCAAAAACAGCAACATTCAACCTTCAAGGCCTTTTCTAAACACAATTGAGTCTAATGAAACTTCATTGGAGCTTCTAGCAAAAGTCAGCTTTCCAATAATGGAGGGAAGTGAGGGGGGGAGCAGAGAAGATCCAGCTACATCTGTGCAATTCCCTAGTGTAAATGCAGTTTTAACAATATAAAGGTACTTCTCCATATAATTTCTAAACCTGTATAGTTAAAGCATTACAAAAGTCATGTGCAGATTAGCTCTTATAAATGGTAATCAAGGAGGTGGCTAGCACTGCTTATAGAAAAGCTTCACAGGGTGGAAGTGTTCATATCTGCTCTCAAACATGACAGTATATTGATCACACAGTAAAGAACTGCAAATTGTGGCTCAGCATGGTCTGAAGAGAGATCTAGGGATATCCTCTCCAGAACATTCTTGGAAAGCACCTTTATTTGGTGCGATATAAAGGAAACCACTTTCACCCAAGAAGTCTTTTTATGAGCACTAGAGGTAGAGTCCCCTCCAGCAGGGGAGATTTAGCATCTATAGAAGTGACTGTGTGTGTGTGTGTGTGTGTGTGTGTGTGTGTGTGTGTGTGTGTGTAAAAAATATTTTATTATATGTATGGTGTGTGGATGTAACCTCTTTCAAATGAATCCAAAGGTGCTTCTACACGAATCCCATAAGCTCTATCTAGAACCAGACACTCGGGGCTGTCAATCCAGCTTCTTTCAAATCATCATCACAACATCCACTGGTTAGATGGAAGAAAAAAAAAATCTGTCACTGGAATGCCTGATAGGAAGATATATGCAAGTTCTGCATCAGAGTCCAACCTCTTTTCCTAGGGCAAGAAGAAAGCCTCGTGTCCTCATCTAATTGAAAGCTGCCATCTGAGACTGGAGCACAGAAATAATATTAAAGCCACACCGCACTTCCTCCAAAGTATTTTATATTTCATGGATAGGGGGAAGCCAAGGCAGAAAGGTGAAGCAATCTGCCCAAGATCAAGCAGATCATCAGTAGAACCAAGCACAGAACACAGCTGTCCTGATAGTTCATTTCTGAACATTTTCAGCATCCATTGAGCAAGATGGCACAACACTCCCCATCCAGACCAGCTTTTCCATTACAAAGCCAGCTGTCAGGCATTAGTAACTTGTTTGTCGTGTACATTTACTTTGGGACGGGTTCAGAGTTCCTTTTACAGTTTGAAACCCATCATGATCACGAGCACTAGCTGTTTTCTATACAGACAATTCTGACTGTAATGTGAAACTGAACAGTCACTCTGACATTTGTACTCCATGATTCAGCCATAGCAGAGTTAAAGAAGGGAGGATTGCATTACCCAATCCACACAAGCCTGAGCTG